GCCCAGGTCACGGCTGCTCCTGACGGATCCTTTCCCTTAAGAAGCCGCCCACAGGTCCGTACCTCCCGCTGGCATGGCGCCGTCTGCAGGAATCACTCAGCTCTGACACGCGGCCACTCTGGGGTGGGACGCTGCCCCAGGATCCCTCCCCAGGTGCTGCATGCAGTGTGTGCTTGGACCAGCTGCCAGGCTGCCCCCCAGAGGTGGCTGCTTTTTGGCACTGCGGGGAGCTGTCCCTGTGCAGAGTTACAGGGCTGCTAACTCAGGCAGGAATTGCTCCTGGCTGGGGCTGCCAGCAGAGAAGCGAAGGGCAGCATGGCCCCAGAACCTGGCCTGGAAGGGGCAGGGATCGAGATGTCCAAGTGGTGGGTGCTTGATTTACTATGCTCCAGTGCCCGCCCCAGCTGCCAGACTGGCACAGGCAGGGGGCTGGGTTTGGGGCAGGCTGAGGGCAGCTGGCAGAGCGAGGGCTGGGGGCTGTGGAGGAAGTCCCATCCTGGTGTTTATGCTCCCAAGGGGGGCTGAGAACCTGTAGTTGGACGTGAAGCCGAGATTCCAGCCTATATATCCCGTTGGTTACCCTTCAATAGCCCACAAGCCAGCTCTGCTCTGGGGGGCGTGCCCAGAGGTGTGTGTCCTTCAATCCAGGCCCATGGCCCCTGCTATCTGAGCCCTGGGCATCCCCCCCCCAGCTCTGCCCGTGCCTCTCAGTCTGCTGTCCCAGCCCTGGGTTTCCCCCACTCATTCACATAGATTTCCTGGCACCCCTTGCTCCTGACCCACAGCCCCACACCTTCAGGAGCCCCGGGGCCAGAATAGCAGGGGGCTGGGGGGCAGGACAGTGAGGCATCACCAAACGCAAATACCCCCCCCCCCAGATCCAGAGCAGCACAGTGAGCTCCGGGGCCTGCTTTGCCCCAGACTCTGGCGTGTCATGGGAGAGCTGCGATAAGAGCTGACGGTAAGTGCTTCCCACACGGTGCTAGGCACGCACGGGGTTACAGGAACCGCCTTGGACCTTTATCTGCCTCTGGCATCTCGGCCCGGCCACTCAGCAAAGCTCCTGTCTGGCTCATGTGCCCTGCTCACAGGAAACCACAGCCACCACTTGAAGGGAGACGCCGCCAAAGGCCCCTTCCCCAGCCTCCTGGGGGGCTGGGTCCCCCTCGTTCCTCAAGCTGGGGCACTGGGGGGAGTGGGAGCTGAGAAGGGTGGATCTGGGAGCCAGGTAAGGTGACCACGTCCTGATTTTGTAGGGACAGTCTTGATATTTGGGGCTTTTACTTACATAGGAGCCTCTTCCCCTCCCCCCAACCCTGATTTTTCTCCTTTGCTAACGGGTCCATCCTGGGCTGGGCTCCAGGAGCTCTGGGTTCAGTGTCCAGCAGGGCCACCGGCTCCTGAGGTGACCCTGAGGGCATCACCCAACGTCCCTGTTCCTGCCTGGCAGGGCAACTCCAGCAGCCAGTCTCAAGCATCTCTCTTCCCTGCTCCCAGGCCTGGCTTGGGCCTCCCCGCCGTCCAGAGGGGCGTTCCAGCTGTGGCCAGCATTCTAGAATTCGGCCAGCATTCTAGAATTCACCCAGCAGCATGTGGGAGCCAGATGTGCCCAGCTGCGCTGCTCTGCAGATCTCGTCCATTCCCCCGGGGGTGGGGGGCAGTGCCTGGTCGCAGGGGGCTGGGCAGACCCTCCTTTAGAAACCGGCTCCCTGTGTTCCCATTGGCCTCCAGCCCTGGCTGCCCTGACCAGGGTCTCCTCACTGGGAAAGGTCTAAGGGGCCAGTGGCTAATCAGGTGCTGGCATGGGGTGAGGGATCCCTGCCCCTCCCTCTGCCTAGGCAGCTTGGTCAGCCCCAGAGTCCCTGCACTGGCCATCCTCGTGCGGGACGTTAAAGGGCCAGTTGGAGGCGTCAGGCCACCAAGCCATGGGGCAAGTAAACAAGGGAGGATGGAAATACGTGGGCCAGGATTATGAGTGGGCAGGGGATTGCATGAGCAGCCCTGATCTGGACAGAGCCTGGCACCATGAGTGGCCCCACAGGGTCAGGCCCTCCAGGTGGTCCCTGCAACTCCTGAAGCATCTTTCTGCTCCTGGGCTCCCCAGCTGCAGCCTCCCTTCCCGGATCCCAGGGCCTGTGTCTGCACCGCGCTGGAGTTTGGAGTTTCTTGGAAACGGTCTCCTAGCCGGGTGCACCCGTCGATGCGTGTGTCCTCCAGGCTCTGCAGGAACGACGGGGAGGCAGCAGGGCTCCCTGGGGCCCTTGGGCAGGGAGGAGCCTTCCCAGCCCCTGTGCCGACAGATTTGGCTTGTCAGGGCAGCCCCGTTTCCTTCCCATCCCTCATTCCCGTGTCTTCCCAATCCATCTCCCGTGGGAACTCCTGAGAGCCTGGCGCCTCGCCCAACAGAACAGGCAGCACAGCCAGGCTCTGCTCACGCTGTGGGGCTGGGCTGGACCCCTCTCCCCCTCTCTGAGCCACTGGTAGGGGCAGAGCGTATGTCTCTAGGGCACTGCTGCATCAAGCAAGATCTTTCAGCCAATTCTGTATGACCAGCCCTTTGTGCTGGGGCAGCACTGAGATGTCCCACCAGAGATCAGGGGACCCTCCTCTACCAGGCACTGCCCAGGCACAGAGTAACCGAGATCAGGGCCCTGGCATACGGGGTGCTGCCCAGACACATGGGCTACGTCTAGACTGGCATGATTTTGCCGAAATACTTTTAATGGAAATGTTTTTCCGTTAAAAGTATTTCCACAAAAGCGCGTCTAGATTGGCATGGATGCTTTTGTGCAAAAGCATCCGTGCCAATCTAGATGCGCTTTGGCGCAAGAAAACTCCGATGGCCATTTTAGCCATCGGGCTTTCTTGCACAAAAAAATTAAGGTGCCTGTCTACACTGGCCCTCTTGCGCGAGTGTTCTTGCACAAGAGGGCTTATCCCTGAGCGGGAGCGTGAAAGTATTTGCACAAGAAGCACTGATTTTGTACATTACAAAGTCAGTGCTCTTGCGCAAATTCAAGCGGCCAGTGTAGACAGCTGGCAAGTTTTTGCGCAAAAGCACTTGCTTTTGCGCAAAATCTTGCCAGTCTAGATGCACCCATGGTGACTGAGAGTGAGGCTCTGTCAGGCCAGGTGCTGCCCAGACAGCCTGAGAGACAGTCCCTGCCCCAAAGAAGTCACAAACAAGCTGAGACAAGATGTAACACGTGGATATGAAAAATCCTTCCCCTTGATTTCTCGTCTCTCATTGCACAATAGCTCTAGCGCTGTGGCTAGGGAACGTTCCCCCAGCTTTCCTTGTGTTTATTCCGGGAATTCCTGGGGCCCAATTCCAAAGAGCACCAGACAATCAATTCTTTGTCTTTGCCAGTGGGTTTCATTCATTAATTCAGCCGTATCAACCTGCCACCTGAGGATGGGAAATCGAGGCGCAGAGAGGGGAAGCAACTTGTCCAAGGTCACAGAGTGAGTCAGTGGCGGAGCTAAGAATGGGAATCCTGATTCCATGTCGCCTGCAAGAACCCCTAGCCCCACCTTTCCCACCCAGAACAAGGGGCCTGTCTTGGCTCCTAAATTCCTATGGGAGAAACTGAGGCCCGGAGAGTCATTTTCCTTCCCCCCACCCATAGTACTACACAGTTGCAGAGCAGGGAATGGTACCTCGGAGTCCTGCACTCCCCGTGCCCCACCGTTCTAACCACCAGACACCCCTGCCTCCCACCCCACGCCCCTTTGCTGGGGCGAGGCAGGCTGTGGAGGACAGGGGGAGGCAGCCAGACTGATCCTTTGCCCAGCAGTGCCCTCTGCTGGGCTTCCTACCGAAGGCTCCTTTTGCATTTGATGGGGGCTGGGCACACAGGACCCCCTCTCCCCAGACCAGCAGCCCTCGTGCAGGAGCTGGCTGCTCCCACGCTACAGGTGGTCTGGGGTGACGAGCGCCCCGACCCCCGGCCTTCCCAGCCCGTTGGCATCCTGCCCGTTCAACACCCTGCCCCACTGTGGGGGTGGATTTAGGGCCTTGTCCATGTCACTTGTCCCCAGAGACCCGCCTGAATGCTGCGGTCGTGCCCTGCTTAGGACCTCACCCCAGAAGGAATGGCCATGCCTCCCCCCTCCCCCCTGGTTCGGATCCCCTCCAGCCCAGGGCTAACCGGGCCTCCCCCATGATCTCCCCCCTCCTCCAGACTGCAGATGGGAATAAAGTGGGGGTGGGGGTGGCTCTGGGTGGGCTCTGTGGGGTGGGCAGCGGTACCATCCTGCTGTTTGCAGAGCAGCACCCTGGCCAGCCACCCTGCGGCTCCCAGTTGCAAAGCTCGACAGTGCTGAGCTGCGGCAAGGGGGCTGCGGGAAGGGGGGAGCACAAGGGGCTGGATCAGAGCCAGGGGGAGCCACAGTGGGACCGGTGGGGAGAGGGTGAGACAGGAAGGGGTCTGCTGGCCTGGCTCCCTCCAAACACGCACCTTGGGATTCCACGAGACCTGAGTACCTGCCAGGAGCTAAGCCCACCGCCCGGGACGGGTGGCTGGCAGCTTTCTCGGCTGTTTGCAAACGTGGCTGGCCCGTCTCTTCTGCTCCCTCCCCCGCCCCCCAGCAGCAGGAACCAG